AACCTGTAACGGACAGCCGCGCCGTGTATGCATTCCTGCGTAGAGGCTGAACGCAATTCTTCTGGCTGGGCTTCCCACGCGCTTCTGTTCTAGCGAAGTAGGCGCCGTTCATTAATTATACACGCTGATGTTGCGAATATTTGATATTTTTACAACTGTGTTCATTATTGATGGAAGAGTGCCGTAATAGAAAATGTTCTATTTATTCTGACTCTTGATATGATATTGCCACGGCGTTGTGCTATGTTTATCGCGAGCGGCCTCAGTAAGATGTCCGGTATACTTTCGTTTGGGTCTTCTGTCGCGATACTCACTGGGGACGTGTTTAAGTCTCCTCCCTCTATCCTCCTCCCCCCTCTCTCTCTCTCTCTCTGTCTCTCTCTCTCTCTCTCTCCCTCTCGCTGTCTCTTTCTCCAGTTACACCTTTTATTTCGCTTTCCCTATCTGTTCTATCGCCGCACTCCTTCTACCCACATCTCGGTGCCTCTCTGCCTCGTACCCCTTCGTTCTCTCTGCTCATCTCTCTCCCTCTCTTCTTTTCTCTCTCATCTTCTCTCTCTCTCTCTCTCTCTCTCTCTATCTATTCTAATTTTTGTGTGTGTGTGTGTGTGGCGGGCGCGCGCAGCGTGGTAGCTCCCCTCCGCGTGCGCTGCGTGCTGTGCGTGTCGCGGCGTCGCGTGTCAAGACCTACGCGGGCACGCACGATGCACAACACAGCTGTCAAGTGATGTTTTCCGCCCGTGCTGTACTTTCATCACATTTCGCGAATATCTGAAGTACGTGTTCTCACAGGGTCGCACGGAATCACCCGAGATGCTGCGATCATGGATATAATTTTCTTATTTAACACATCATTGTGATTCCCCATTTAATTAAGCTGTCATTTTTAGATAATTCAAGCGGCACCGTCGACCGGGAGTGACGAACGCTCTGATGATAAACACTCGGCATAGGAAATGCAGAGATTCATGGTCTGGGATCGGTTATTTGTGGAGTGCCTTATATCTACGGTGTAATTATGTTACAGCCGGACACTTATATTTGATACAGAGTCGTATAAGGATGTAACTGTGTACGACTTGTGCTATGCACATAACGGTTGTACTCGTGCACGTGCAATATTTATGCGTAGGCCCTACTATTTGTTACTGTGCTTATTCGTGTAGTGCTATATGCACTGATTAACTGTGTATTATGTGCGGGTGTACTAGGATAGGTTATACTATTAGTACTGGCATGTGTATTTACATAACGATCTGTACTGCTGCACGGTGGCAATACGCATGGTGTTACTATGTAGCCTACTGTGCATTGTGTGTCGTGTAGTATCAGGGGCGGATTCAGACCGTATTTGCCGTATTCGGAAATACGGTCTAGATTCAAAGTGCCCTTCAAAATTATGTGCCGCTAAAAATCACAGAAAACAATTTGATGGAATTTGCTATATTCTTTATGTTTTTATTTTATCTTCTGATTCATTGACAAGACTGAAGGAAATCAAAATTTTACATGGAACAGAACTAAGCTTGATATCTGAAAAAAGAAGGGAAGTGCTTGAATCATTCTGCATTAATTGCTGGTATACAAAGCGCAGGCAAAATGAAGCAGAAATAAGTTCCATAATTGGTTTTTTAGCTATTGCTGCTTGACTAAATGTGTGCCTCAAATGGTGCTCAATTATTTGTGCCAGGGACCCTTGAAATTTTTGAAATTTCCTGGGGAGAGGCCCCCAGACCCTCCGCCATGCTGCTTCCGCGCCTGACGGCGCCCACTGTGGGGTGGTGTGCCCTTGGCGGAGGATGTGCCCTTAAACATCTGGAAAATATGCTAGCTTCAGCCCTGGATCCGCCCCTGAGTATACTATGTACTGTGCATTGTGTCGTGTAGTATACTATGTACTGTGCATTGTGTCGTGTAGTATACTATGTACTGTGCATTGTGTCGTGTAGTATACTATGTACTGTGTACTATGTGTGGTGTAGTATACTATGTACTGTGTACTATGTGTGGTGTAGTATACTATGTACTGTGTACTATGTGTGGTGTAGTATACTATGTACTGTGACATGTGTGGTGTAGTATACTATGGTTACTTGTGTACATATGTTGTGGCTTGTAGTATTTACTATGTACTGTGTACTATGTGTGGTGTAGTATACTATGTACTGTGTACTGTGTGGTGTAGTATACTATGTATTGTGCATTGTGTCGTGTAGTATACTATGTACTGTGAATTGTGTCGTGTAGTATACTATGTACTGTGAATTGTGTCGTGTAGTATACTATGTACTGTGAATTGTGTCGTGTAGTATACTATGTACTGTGTACTATATGTGTGGTGTACTATATAAGGTATACTATGTACTCTGTATTACGTAACGGTATAATGTACACGGTGCAATATGTATGGTGTACAATGTACTGTGCATTATGTGTGGTGTACCATGTAGTATACTATGTACACATATATATACACATATACATATATACATAAATATATATATACACAGGCCCGTGGCCAGGGGGGTTCGGGGCGGTTCGAACGGAACCCCCCCCCGAGCCCCCTCCCCCCAAGCCAAAATTTTTTTTTTTTTGAACATTTGCAAGAATTTCACCTCAGGATCGCTCCATTTTTAAGCTGTAATAATTGCAAAATCTCCATCGTGCGGGGCGTGAACAGTGAACACCCCCCTCTCACACCCTCCCCCCGCTAACGGTCGCTTGGTCCTTCGCCTGGTCGCACTTCCGCCGCCCGAGCAGTGGGCGTGTACAGGGGGGGTCCATGGAGCGTCGGACCCCCCCCTTGGCCTTCACGCCGAGAAAACGCGCCATTCTGAGCGGCGGTGTACTTTTTAACTTTTAAAAAAATTTAAAACCCCAGACCCCCCCTTCGCGTGCTCGTAACTATGGGTTACGGTTAGACCCCCCTGGTACAAATCCTGTACACGCCCCTGCCGAGCAAATTGCCAACATTGAAAAACGAACCCCCCCCCCAATAGAAAGCTGGCTACGGGCCTGTATACATATATACATACATATATATATACATATATACATATATACCGTGTATTCGCGATTTTGTCCTGTGTTGTGTTCTATCCTTAATTTTGCGCTTCTTTATTCTTTACTTCAACGTACGCCAGAGGAATATGATCAACGTTAGTGACGTAGCAGATATTGAGATAACGTTACCTCGCTCTATAATATTCAGCGACATACTTACAACTGGATCGCAACCAATAACAATCCTAGCAAAACTGACAAAACTCATCATCATTTCTCTTGTGCAGCTAGCACACCCGTGTCAATTAAAGCGATTCAGGTAAGGAGGGTGATACTGATAGGGGCGCATGCCATTCCGACAACAGCAAAACAACAGCTAGAGCGCCACCAATTGTTTTTAAAGTAAATTATTCGCGTAAACATAAGGAATTATACACCTAGAAATGTGCAGTAAGTTGTATGTTAGTGTAGCAGGGCTCTGGGCGAGTGTGCGTGCGTGCGTGCGTGCGTGCGTGCGTTCGTTCGTGGAAGACAATGAGACCAGCCATTAGTAACAATTGTTGCAACTACCTAGACCTATATAAAGTATATAGCACTCATATTGTCTACTATATTGCACCTATTGGCCTATATTGCACGCTTCTAGGCCTATATTATGCCTAATTCGACCAACAGACTGAATATTAGACAAGAATTACAATGACAATTTATTTGTAACAATCAATCCATTGCCTAATATCACTCCATTCGGTAATACCCGTTTGTCTATGGCAGGCTTCATAGAAATATACTTTAATGTGAACACGAGTAAGACCACAATGAGTGATTATACAAACCAAAAGACCTTTTAGAGTACCTTTAATTCAATCCAACACAATTGCAAATAAGTAATGTCATATAAAAATAAAAGGCCTTCACATGAATTACAATTTAATCATTCTCACTCAAAAATGGGCAGCTGACGCATTGCTTCCTGAATAATACGATATTCATATCATGTCACTGGGTCACATCAAGTCACTGGTTCACGTCATGTCACTGGTCACACATCACGTCACTGGGTCACATATCATGTCACTGGGTCACAGTCACGTCACTGTAGAGAGAGAGAGAGAGAGAGAGAGAGAGAGAGAGAGAGAGAGAGAGTGAGAGAGACATATATATATATATATATAACCCTTTACGTTGATAAATATACAGTTGCATAAATAATCAGTTCATATTTGAAGCCATAAATCTCAGAACATGTTGTAGGAGTTAAACTAGAAGACTAGTGCGGTACTTACGCTTTCCCGAGCAGATCTGCTTTCTGTGCTCGTCCTCGGTCGTTTTATACCACCATCTGGTAAGTTGATCCTTCGTATGCTGTCTAACTATCCGTAATCTCATTGGATGAGAGAGGTTGTGACCTTTTACGCAACAGCAAATCACGTCGTTGCATCGAACGCTGCGATATCTAGTATGGTTTGCAAAACAAGACTGGCAGTCGAAAATAGAACGTGTGACAATTCTGAAAAAGGGCAAGCGTCTAGTTTGCGCGGTTTTTCCAATGTCGAAGCAATATTCTATTTTGGGCGTATCATTAGGTGTCACGTAACCATTACCAGCTTCTTGGTCATGAGGTAAAAATCTGTGGTTTTCTAACTCCGTACATCTGGTAGAATTAATTCACTAATTCAATCAAGTAAGTTTTAACGGCCCGCGAGAATTTTCGTCTATAAATCTTGCGCCGCCCGTCGACGTTTGTGCAGCATGTGTTATTCTGATGACGGTCATTAAAACAGTATACACCGCCAGTAAAAGACATTTTGATTTATTTAGATTTTACGTTAGTCGTCAGGATTTAGTTAGATAACTCATCGAAATCAACCATTAATTATAAATGCAAAAGGTATTCAGTGGGCATGCTTGTGTGAAGCTCGTGGGACATCAGCTAACGATTACAGTGTTGTTACTATGTAGTGCGCATACTAAATATTATTTAGATTGAGTTCTGAAACATCTTGACGTAAAATACACACGCGCGCACGTGTGCATGCATGCGCGCATAAACGTTGGTTTATTAAACAAGATCGCACTTGCTATCGCACTTCAACATGTGTTTCATAATCCAGCACGTGCATGCGTCTGTATTTCATTGATGTATTGAAAAGGGGGTGTATCGATACGCAGATATTGAACTGAATTTTTTCGCAATGAGAAGATGTGGTTTTACACGTGAGGTGGCCAGCACTTGTCAATCTAGTGTGTTTTCCACTAAGCATGGCTGTAAACTGTAATACAATTTCACACGTTGCATATGAGTTCCTCGATCCATAATCACATGAAATGGCGGACTGCCGTCTCCAGTAAGAGAGACAATGGCAGACAGAATGGCGGGTAGTGGCAGACAGACAGATATGTGTGTGTATGTGTGTGTGTGTGTGTGTGTGTGTGTGTGTGTGTGTGTGTGTGTGTGTGTGTGTGTGTGTGTGTGTGTGTGTGTGTGTGTGTGTGTGTGTGTGTGTGTGTGTGTTCCGCAATATTTCATTACAGGGAAGTATCGTCGTTACAGCGAGTTGATGACTGTGCGTGTATATTCATACGGTATATAGTTATATATTATTATTATTGTTGTTGTTGTTGTTATTGGTATTATTATGTATTTTTCATGTCATTGGAGCGGCTCCTTTCCCTCGTAGCTTCAGATCATGTCTCTTATAACATAATATCGTCTAGTAAACCTTACTACACACGCGAATAGTATATAGTAGTAGTACGCATGCCTCGCCCCGCCAGCTAACATCGCGTAAGGTGATATCGCTCATGCTTTTTAACGCGAACACCGACCTTGTTTCTCACTCGGCATCGTTCATCTAGATAGATTCATTCAGAAGGCCTGAGGCGATGCTTTTGTTAGCCGCGGGTATTTTTACGCGCCTGCTTCGTCTACATTGAGCTCATTTCGTGGCTAGAGTTTGCACTATGCACACTTGTAACCGATATCATGTGAGCGAAGGCGTAACGCTGTGAAGCTTTATGCGATGGTACTGCGCATGTCTTTGCGACTAATATAATTCAAGGCCATGCTAGAGAAGTAAACAAGCGAGGGGAAGTGGGAAGCGAAGCGATGCGTAAGATAGGCACATGAGAGCGAAAAGAGGGATAGAGAACGAGAGCAACACCGAGAGAGAGAGAAAGAGATGAAGAGAGAGAGAGAGAGAGCGCGCGGGAGAGAGAGGGGGTGAGAGAAAAAGAGAGGGTAAAAAGGTGAGAACAAGCGAGTGCATGAGACAAAATAAAACGGAAGGAGAAAGCGCGTAAGCGCGGGTGCGAAGAATGAAGTGAAGGAGAAAGAGAGAATAACAGACAGATCAAGAGAGAGAAAGAGGTAGAAATGCAGAGCGTTAGAAAAGAGAAAGGGGGGGCGGGATTGAGTGAATAGGACCGAACTCGGACGAAATAGTGAGAAATACGTATAGCTGAAGGCTGGAGGCGGTATAACGTAGAAAATGTAAGACGAGAAATTCCACGCCTTAATATCCCGACTGATACAAAAACATCTCGAGCTATTTATAAACTTACCGTCAACATGTTTCTTCGATATCGTCAGACCTAATTATACTCAATCAACTTATAATCAACACAACTGTAACGACAGCCGCGCCGTGTATGCATTCCTGCGGAGGCTGAACGCAGATTCTTCTGGCTGGGCTTCCCACGCGCTTCTGTCTAGCCGAGTAGCGGTTCATTAATTATACACGTGTGTGCGAATATTTGATATTTTTACAAAATGTGTTCATATGATGAAGAGTCCGTAATAGAAAATGTTCTATTTATTCTGACTCTTGATATGATATTGCACGCGTGTGCTATGTTATCGCGAGCGGCCGTCAGTAAGATGTCGGTATACTTGTCGTTGGGGTCTTCTGTCGTACTTCACTGGGGACGTGTTTAAGTCTCGCTCCCTCTATCCTCCTCCCCCCTCTCTCTCTCTCTCTCTCTCTCTCTCTCTCTCTCTCTCCCTCTCGCTGTCTCTTTCTCCAGTTACACTTTTATTTCTTCCCTATCTTTCTATCGCGCACTCCTTCTACCCACATCTCGGTGCCTCTCTCCTCTCCCCCTTCGTCTCTCTCTCTCTCTCTCTCTCTCTATCTTTCTATTTTTGTGTGTGTGTGTGTGTGCGCGCGCGCGTGCGTGCGTGCGTGCGTGCGTGTGTGCGCGTGTGTCAGACTACGCGGGCACGCACGATTGCACAACACAGCTGTCAGTGATGTTTCGCCGTGTACTTCATCACATATTCGCGAATATCTGAGTACGTGTTCTGCACAGGGTCGAGGAATCACCCGAGATGCTGCGATCATGGATATAATTTTCTATTTAAACATCATTTGATTGCCATTAATTAAGTGTCATTTAAGAATAATTCAAGCGGCACGTCGACCGGGAGTGACGAACGCTCTGATGATAAACACTCGGCATAGGAATGGCAGAGATCATGGTCTGGGATCGGTTATTTGTGGAGTGCTATATCTACGGTGTAATATGTACAGCGCACTATATTTTGATCAGAGTGTATAAGATGTACTGTGTACCGACTGTGTATCACATAACGGTGTACTGTGCACGGTGCAATATTTATGGCGTAGGCCCTACTATGTACTGTGCATTATGTGTAGTGTACTATGCACTGTTAACTGTGTATTATGTGCGGTGTACTAGATAAGGTATACTATGTACTGCATGTGTATTACATAACGATGTACTGTGCACGGTGCAATACGCATGGTGTACTATGTAGCCTACTGTGCATTGTGTGTCGTGTAGTATCAGGGGCGGATTCAGACCGTATTTGCCGTATTGGGAAATACGGTCTAGATTTCAAAGTGCCCTTCAAAATTTTGCGCTAAAAAATACAGAAAACAATTTGATGGAATTTGGCTATATTCTTTATGTTTTATTTTTCTTCTGATTCCATGTGACGGACGTGTGGACCGCAGTGGACGTGATGTGGGTTTACTCAGTGACTGATGTGTGATTCAGTGACGTGACGTGTGACCCAGTGACGTGATGTGTGGACGCCAGTGACGGCACGTGTGACCAGTGACGTGATGTGGGACCCAGTGACGTGGATGATGTGATTCAGTGACGTGACTAGACCGGCAGTGACATGATATTGTGAACGCCAGTAGACGTGATGTGTGACCAGTGACATGACGTGAACCAGTGACTTGATGTGACCCAGTGACATGATATGAATAAGTCGTATTATTCAGGAAGCAATGCGTCAGCTGCCCTTTTTGATGTGCAGATGATTAAATTGTAATTCATGTAAGGCCTTTATTTTTATATGACATTACTTATTTGCAATTGTGTTGGAATTGAATTAAAGGTAACTCTAAAAGGTCTTTTGTTTGTATAATCACTCATTGTGGTTTTACTGCGTGTTCACTTAAAGTATAGTTTCTATGAAGCCTGCCTATAGACAGAACGGTGATCTAGCGAATGGAGTAATATTAGGCAATGGATTGATCTGTTACAAATAAATTGTCAATGTAATTCCTTGTTAATATTCAGTCTGTTGGTCAATTAAGGCCATCAATATAGGCCTACCGAAGCGTGGCAAATATAGGCGCAATAGGTGGGCATATATAGTAACAATATGCAGTGCTAATACTTTATATAGGTCATAGGTAGTTGCAAACAATCTTTTACTATGGCTGGTC